CAAAATAAGAAAGGAAAAGGGAGAAATGACAACAAATAAAATAGAAATACAGAATATCATGCAAGAATATATGAAAAAACTATATGGAACCAAACTGGATAACTTAGAGGAGATGGACAAGTTTCTGAACATACTGTCCACCAAGACTGAATCAAGAAGAAACTGACCACTTGAACAAACCAATCACTAGAAATGAAATCAAAATAGCAATATATAACGTCCCTACAAATAAAAGTCCAGGACCAGATGGCTTCACCAGGAAATTCTACCAAACGTACAAAGAAGAATTCATACCAGTCCTTCTCAAACTCTTCCAGACGATTGAAAAGGAGCGAATACTCCCAAACTCATTCTATGAAGCCACCATCACCCTGATACCAAAACCAGGCAAAGACACTACCAAAAAAGAGAATTATAGGCCAATGTCACTGATGAACGTAGATGCCAAAATCTTCACCAAAATATTAGCAAATAGAATCCAACAACACATAAAAAAGATTATACATCATGACCAAGCAAGGCTCACTCCAGGGACACAAGGGTGGTTCAACATACACAAATCAATCAATGTCATACATCACATCAACAAGAGAAAGGACAAAAACCACAGAATCATCTCAATAGATGCAGAAAAAGCATTTGATAAAATTCAACACCCATTTATGACAAAAACTCTAACCAAAGTGGGCATAGAGGGAACATATCTCAACATAATAAAAGCTATATATGACAAACCTACAGCCAGCATAGTACTCAATGGTGAAAAACTCAAAATCTTCCCACTAAAATCTGGGACAAGACAAGGATGCCCACTCTCACCACTCCTATTCAACATAGTCTTGGAAGTCCTAGCCACAGCAATCAGGCAAGAGAGAGATATCAAAGGGATCCAAATTGAAAAAGAAGAGGTAAAAGTGTCACTATATGCCAACGACATGTTACTATATATAGAAGACCCTAAAGGGTCCACACAAAAACTACTAAAGCTGATCGAAGAATTCAGCAAGGTAGCAGGTTACAAGATTAACGTTCAAAAATCAGTTGCATTTCTTTACACTAACGATGAATCAACAGAAAAAGAAAGTAAAGAAACAATCCCCTGTAAAATACCACCCAAAGTAATAAAATACCTAGGAATAAATCTAACCAAGGAGGTGAAAGAATTATACACAGAAAACTATAAACCACTGATGAAAGAAATTAAAGAAGACTTTAAAAAATGGAAAGATATCCCATGCTGTTGGATTGGAAGGATCAATATTGTTAAATGGTCACACTGCCCAAGGCAATCTACAGATTTAATGCAATCCTTATCAAATTACCCAGGACATATTTCACAGAACTAGAACAAATCATTATAAAATTTATATGGAACCATGAAAGACCTAGACTTGCCAAAGCATTACTGAAGAGAAAGAAAGAGGTGGAGGAATAACTCTCCCAGACTTCAGACAATACTATAGAGCTACAGTCATCAAGACAGCATGGTACTGGTACCAAAACAGACATATGGACCAATGGAACAGAATAGAGAGCCCAGAAATGAACCCACAAACTTTTGATCAACTAATCAACAAAGGAGTCAAGAATATACAATGGAATAAAGACAGTCTCTTCAGCAAATGGTGTTGGGAAAATTGGACAGCAGCATGTAAAGCAATAAAGCTAGAACACTGCCTTACACCATCCACAAAAAAACCTCAAAATGGATCAAAGACTTAAACATAAGACAAGATACAATAAAACTCCTTGAAGAAAATATAGGCAAAACATTATCTGACATACATCTCAGAAATGTTCTCCTAGGGCAGTCTACCCAAGCAATAGAAATAAAAGCAAGAATAAACAAATGGGACCTAATGAAACTTACAAGCTTCTGCACAGCAAAGGAAACCATAAGTAAAACAAAAAGACAGCCTATGGAATGGGTGAAAAATGTTGCAAATGAAACCTACAAAGGCTTGATCTCCAGAATATACAAGCAGCTCAGACGACTTAATAAGAAAAAAACAAACAACCCAATCCAAAAATGGGCAGAAGACCTAAACAAGCAATTCTCCAAGGAAGAAATACAAATGACCAACAGGCACATGAAAAAATGCTCAATATCACTAATTATCAGAGAAATGCAAATCAAAACTACAGTGAGGTATCACCTCAACCAGTCAGAATGGCCATCATTCAAAAATCCACAAGTGACAAATGCTGGAGAGGCTGTTGAGACTACACTGCTGGTGGGAATGCAGTTTAGACAGCCACTGTGGAAAACAGTATGGAGATTTCTCAAAAGACTAGGAATAGACTTACCATGTGACCCAGGAATCCCACTCCTGGGCATATATCCAGAAGGAACCCTACTTCAAAATGACACCTGCACCCCAGTGTTCATAGCAGCACTATTTACAATAGCCAAGACATGGAAACAGCCTAAATGTCCATCAACAGATGGCTGGATAAAGAAGAGGTGGTATATTTATACAATGGAATACTATTCAGCCATAAAAACCGACAACATAACGTTATTTGCAGCAACATGGATGCTCCTGGAGAATGTCATTCTAAGTGAAGTCAGTCAGAAAGAGAAAGAAAAATACCATATGAGATAGGTCATATGTGGAATCTAAAAAACAAAACAAAACAAAAACAAACAAACAAAGCATAAATACAAAACAGAAACAGACTCATAGACATAGAATACAAACTTGTGGTTCAAGGGGGCGGAGGGTGAAAAGGGATAGACGGGATTTCAAAATTGTAGAATAGATAAAGAAGATTATACTGTATAGCACAGGGAAATATACACAAGATCTTATGGTAGCGCACAGAGAAAAAAATGTCTTAACAATGAACATATATATATGTTCATGTATAACTGAACAATTGTGCTCTACACTGGAATTTGACACAACATTGTAAAATGATTATAAGTCAGTAACAAATGTTATATTGTTAACAACAAAAGAGCTGTACATCAAAAGCAAATCTGATGAAAGAATCAGTAATTAATTAGGACTAGAAGGTGAACTCTGTAACACTCTGCTAATGCTGTCCAGGTTCCCTGGGAGAACAGAAACTGCTCTGGATGGGTTGCAGAGGGCTCTAGACCAGGCCTGGAGATTTATCAACAGAGAACATGCAGGATGGTCATGAAGAGAACAGATCCATAAGGATGTCACAACCTGTAGAAGAAACTGCAGCAGGCTGTATGAGGATAATTCAATAATGACAGACCCCAGAACAAGAGATGTCCTTCTCCCAAAACTACAGGTGATGCTGGGAACATTGTAGGGGACTGGGCTGGAATCATGCTGCTGTCTATATCTTAGTATCTCTGTTCTGTGAATAGTTTGTAGCCAGCATTCTTTTAGCAGGGAACATTAATTTGGGAGTCAAAATGTCTGGGTTGTATTTCTAGACCCATGACTAACTACCTTTGTGACACTGGGCAAGTCAGTCTACCTCTCTGGACCTCATTTTCATTATATTTATGAGGAAGAGTTGGATTTGATGGGCGATGACCAGTGCATGGCCATATCCCACCCCAGTGTCCATGGCAGACATTGAGAAACAGTACTCTGTTTTACTGAGCCCATACATAATCTTAGGATCCTGATCAGCATCCCATCTAGGAAGTCCCCAACCAATCAACTAGAAATGACACATGTACATTAACTACATCTTGCATTTTTTGTCTTCTGATGCTTTGATATCTGGGGCATTGCTGACCATGGAGGAATGCCCCTCCCTAAGTTAGTCAGTTTCCAGAAACAGGAAACAATGTGCACAGAAGCAAACCAGCCAATCCAGAGCCCAAACAACCAGCTCCTTTATTAGGCTCTCCTACTCCAAGCCAGTAGCCACCTGCGCTAATCACTCCAGAGCCAGATATCATACAACCAGGAGTAGTGCCTACGCCCCAGACTCTGCTGAAATTACTAAGATAGTCAATCCTACACCTGCTTATCCTGCCTTGCCTGTTCCTTCCCACAGTGCTTGCCCACAGTTCTCCTCCCACTCTCCCTCCTGCCTGACTTTGGTGCTTCCAGTGAAGTCCTACTCTGACCCCCACAGCATTGAATGCCCTCTTCTATTGGAATCTGTGAATATTACAAAGTAGCTTTTCAATAGCAATCATCCCCTGATATGTTCCCCTTACTATATCCAAGCAATAAAACCTATGTTAAAACAACATATGATGGGACCTACCTGCCCCCAAGGCAGATGATCTCTAGGGTCTTTTCTAGCTTGAGCAATCTTTTATCTTCTTGCTTCAATTTGGAGAGCACTGTACTGTTTTAACAATAGGTATTTCAATTATAATAATTTATTGATCTTCTGGTTACCATGTCTTTAATTCCCAATTTTTTCTAAATCAAGAATCACATAAAGAGAAATTCTGCAGAAAGTCTCATGCAAAAGTCATCGCTTAAGTAGAGGCAGGGGGAAATGGGGGTCCTGTTTTAGGAAACCTTTCGTTTTGCTCTATTAACAGCTAAAGGATAAAAATCATTCTGGTGTGCCTTTTTTTGACTTTTGTTAACTTTTCTATTTTCCTTAGTTCTTCTTTCTTCATTGCTTTTGGGTCAGAGTAGCAGACATTCCCTTCTGACAGCATATGATGGTGCAAGTTTGCAACATATGCTGGGAAGAATCAGGAAAACACTGGGGTAAAACTGTCCCTTTAAAAGGCATATGGGCATAGTGTTTTGTATGTAGTGGGTGCTCAATAAATTCTTTAAAATTAATCAATAATAATAAATGAATGCATGTTTTTGCTATTATATTATTACACAGTATTTAAATTGAATTGTGTCCCCCCTGCCCAAATTCATATGTTGAAGTCCTCACCCTGGTACCTCAGAATGATCTTATTTGAAGTCAGGGTCTTTACAGAGGTAATCAAGTTAAATGAGGTCATTAGGGTGGGTCCTAATCCAATATGACTGGTGTCCTCATAAAAAGGGGCACATTTGGAGACACTCATACGGGGAGAACACCCCATGAACATCAAGGCAGAGATCAGGCTGATGCTTCCACAAGTCAAAGAACAACAAACATTGCCAGCAAGCCACCAAAAGCTAGGGGAGTATCCTGGAACAGAGTCTTCCTCACCACTTTCAGAAGGAGCCAACCCTACCAACATCTTCATCTCAGATTTCAAGCCTCTCAAAATGTGAGACAATAAATACTTGGTGTTTTTTTAAAGGACATGGGTATAAGACAAAACACAAGAAATGTATCCTAGTATATGAAGAACTAGATTAATAATGGGAATATTACAAAATACGTCCTGAAGGAATGAACTAACTCTAACCTAGTACCAACCCTGATTCACTGTGTAGTCTTCATCTATAGCCTCATTCTTCTTTGCCTTTACTTTTTGTTTGAAAAACAATTATTTCAACCTCTCTCCAAATATACTTCATAGAGATGTTGTGCAGAATCATTTGACTTTCTAGAAATTGCCTTTAGTTATAAATTTGCAGAGAAGGATTATGTGTAAAGCAAAATTACATTAGCATTTGTGTAAGGGAATAAACAAGGAAGTGTATTTCAGTTCAAGAATTAATACTTTGGGCTCACCCACCGCTGTGGACTGGGCAACTAGTAGACAGGCAGCATGGGGAAGGGAGAACCAGGGCGAGGGGGCTATCGAGTGCGAGGCGCTGATGCCTACCTTCAGCTGGGAGGAGATTCAGAAGCACAACCTGTGCACAGACAGGTGGCTCGTCATCGACCACAGTCTACAACATCACCAAATGGTCCAGCCGGCATCCGGGGGGCTTTCGGGTCATCAGGCACTACGCAGGGGAAGATGCTACGGACGCCTTCCTCACCTTCCACTGCAACCTCGATTTCATGCGCAAGTTCATGAAGCCCTTGCTGATCGGTGATCTGGCCCCGGAGGAGCCCAGCCAGGACCACAGCAAGAACATGCAGATCACTGAGGACTTCCAGGCCCTGAGGAAGACCACTGAGGAGATGAACCTGTTCAAGACCAACCACCTGTTTTTCCTCCTCCTCCTGACCCACATCTTCATCATGGAGACCATCGCGTGGTTCACCATCTTTTACTTTGGCAATGGCTGGATTCCAACCATCATTATGGCCTTTATTCTTGCTGCATCTCAGGTGAGGCATGACACATTCACCTGTCACTTGAAGCCCCTGCTCCCTCCCCCTCCCGATTCCCCCAGCTCCCAGAGTCCTGGTGTCTGGGTGCTGATGCTGTGAAAGCATCCCTGGCTCTCTCTCCCCAGGCCCCAGCTGGATGGCTGCAACACGATTTTGGCCACCTCCCTGTTTACAAGAAGTCTACGTGGAACCACATTGTCCACAAGTTCACCATTGGCCACTTAAAGGTAACTGTCAGCCACCCTGGGTGTCCGTCCCATCAGTTAGCGTTTGATGCAGCACTATCTCACTTTACTCTGAGACCAGGACCTACCAATCCCCTGCTTCTCTGACCTTCCAAGCCTTATCACATTAGACACACAGAACCAGTGTACTAATTATAAAAACAGGCACACGCTTCTCCATTGATGATACTTGTTTCTTACCTAAGCAAGGACTTACTAATAAACTCCTTTCAGTTTGAGGACAGTGAAAAAAAAAGAATTAATATTTTGATTTAAGTTATGATTAAAGGATACCATAATTACAGGAAATCAAGAAAACAGTTTAGAGTATTTTTTTTCAGAAGTTCTGTGTGAACTTTTTACTTTTGTCATTGTGTTTGGTTTTGAAAATGCATCCATTCACAAAAAAATCTGAGCAGTTGGACAAAACGGATGTATAATCCTCTGAAATGGGCCAGGACTCAAGTTGAAGTACGGTTGGCTGGACATTTAAGAACACAATGAGGAAAAGGCTTACCTTTCTCCTCCATCTGACATTGCCAAGTAAAACCTTCCAAATGTTCTAGAGAAAGAAGATGCTTCTGACTCATATTCTGTTTGCCTTTGAGTCTTGCTCAAATTTTTTTTTTCAAATGGAAAAAAGGAAGAACGAAGGAAAGAGCATAAAAGTCAAGGAACTGATTTTGTGTGGAAGGAAAATACAGCTGTGAATTCTCTGGGCTATGAGTATATAAAAATTAGGAGGGGGAAAGCCAAATCCTAACTTATTCAATGCCTTAATTTGAAGATGAAGATAAGGTGGTAAAGAATGGTGAGACTGAGGTGCTCCTTTAGAATCATGGCCTTTCTCTGTGTCTCAAAGACACTTCAACATCTTGTAATAATCTATAATGGAAAAGAATCTGAAACATATATATATAACATATATATAACTGAATCACTTTGTTGTACACCTGAAACTAATACAACATTGTATACAATATTGTACTATATTTCAATAAAAAATAAAAACAAATAAAAATAAAAGACATTTGGAAGATTGCAAAACCTTCCTCCAGAACCACTTCTAAGGCTGGAGAAACTGTCTGTCAGTGGACATTTAACACTTTCCCCCTAAAATGCTGTTTCCAGATATGCAAAGATTAAAATGTTCACAGAACCCTTTGGGAGTGTATAAATTTGACTGTTGTTGTTTTTTTTTTCTTGCTCTAAGGTCAACAGAATCCTGAAAACCCTGAAGTCCCTTCTCTCAAAGGATAAGTTCAGGTGAGTAGCACTCTCTCTTGCTACAAGAGCTAAATTGATATCATCTGTAGGACCAAGAATTCTAGGGCATGAAAAAACAAGTAAAAATTAAAACTCTGGGTGTGCCATTGAGCCCAACTCTCATTTTGAAGATGAGGTAGCTGAGGCTCAGAGATGGAAGCACGCACTGAAACATCCTGTGGTCTCTGTGGTAGGTTATGCAGAACAGGTCTTACCCCCAGCCCTCACTCTAGGTCTGCCCATCCTCTTGCTGCAGTGGTCAGAGAATTGTAAATATCTCGTCAGGGCTCACTAGAATCCTTGCCTGGTCGACTGAATCAACCAGAGGGGAAGAGTTAGGGGCTGTTTATGGCCACCCTCTTCAATCCACACTCCCACTCTACAGACTCTAAAATAATAGGGGATTCTGGGTGCAGGCCTATGAGCAAGCTGTGGGGGTGATAACTGAAAATGCAATGTGAGGAAGCAGGCTCTGGCATTCCCAAGGGCAATACTAAATTGTGTGGCCCTTGCATTTTCCTCCTTCCCTTTACTTTTTCTTTCCTTTTGGAAGTGTTGTATTTTGAGCAAGACTCTCAAAGGAGAACAGAATATGAGCCAGAGGTATCTTTCTCCTGAGAATTTGGAAGGTTTCACTCAGTATCTTCAGGTGGGGGAGGAAAGTAAGCCTTTTCCTCATTGTCAATGTGTAGCCAACATTTCAGAGGCCCCTGGTTATACATCCATCTTGCCTGATTGCCTGGAGGTTTTATGAATGGACATATTTTCAGAACCAAAATGACTTCTTTAGAGTGGTGCTCAAATTTTAACATGCATAGAAATCACTAGGAGGGCTGGTTGAAGCACAGATTGCTGGGCCCCATGCCTACTTGCTAATTCAGTACTGGCTGGAGCAAGTTTTAACAAGTTCCCAGGTGATGCTGCTGCTAGTTCCAGTGTTCAGGGCTAGTGGGAACAACGACCTACTGGGACCCAGCCTTAGACGTGCTCCTGTTCCCCTTACCTGCTTCCACATCTCTGATAAGACCCCCCTTTCCCTTGACTCAGTGAGAAGCTATAGCCCATGTGAGGGGGAGCTGGTGACAAAATGGCCATTGTCATCTTCTCATAGGAACAACCTTACTACTTTCATTCCTCTTAATGGTCACTATTTTAGACTTCTTTTTAGGCTCTTTATTTATCTTACTCCTCACACATAAATGACCACAAAATCCTATAGATTCTGTACCCTAAATAAGTACAGAAGCTGTCCCCTATCTCTCTAGCCACTTTCTCACCTCCGTGATCCAGGTGAACATGATCTTTCACCCAGAACTCTGCAGTAGCTCCCCATTTGGTCTTCTCTTTCACTCCACTATCAGAGCACGTTTCCTAAAACAGAAATCTGATCCTAAAACTGTGGAGCTCAGAATTGCTCCAGTGTGTCCCCTTGGCTTTCAGGAGAGGGGCAGAGGGGCAGTGATATCTTGGAGACATTTATTTAGCCTTCCCACCATCCTCTTCTTTTCTCCACTCACACCAACACTCATAGCATTCTAGACCAAACTTGGCAGAAGGAGGAAGAGGTTGAATTGGTAAACCTCCTTCTGCTTAAAAGATGTACCTTTCATTTTAGTTTAATGAGCACTTATAGGCACCTACTATTTGCAATGCCTGGTACTTTTCATCAATCCTCACCAAAAGCAGGGGGGTTACTGGGAGGACAGAATGAAACAGAGTTAAGGAGCTGCCTAAAATTATCTGCAGCTAGAGAATTAATTTGGAAGAGAAGGCAGGCCTTTGGTTGCCTATCCAGGTTTCTTGCCCTTGAATCTCTCAATAGTCTTCATTTGTCTTTCAAATGTATGAGTTAGGCAGTAGAGGTAAAGAGAATAAGCTTTAGCTTTAGAACCCTGCTGATTAGAAGCCTGCTTCTGTCATAAGGAACCATAAGTACATTTCTCACCCTTTTGAGCCTCCATTTCCTCATCCTGAACTAACCTTTGTTAGTTTTTGATTATTCTTCTAATAACAGAAGAATTTTGTGTACAGTATTCTAAGATGACCCCTGTGGTCCCTGCCTCCTGGTGTCCATGCCTCCATGAAACCTTCTCCTGTGGAGCGTGGGCAGGATATACAGCTTGCTTCCAACTACTAGGGAATATGGCAATGGACACGGGGTAGCTCTCCCACAATTATGTTGTTTTATAGAAGGGATTTACAGATGAAAGTAAGTTGCTAAACTTTGAGTTAACTGAAAGGAAATTATCCTAGTTGGGTCTGCCCTAATCAGGTGGGCCTTTAAAAGAGGGCTTATCCTTTCCCTGACCTCAGAGACTCCACATAGCAGATGTTCTCTTCCTCCTGTTGGCCCTGAGTTCTGCAGATGCAAGGAAACAAATTCTTCCAACATCCACATGAGTTTGCAAGAGGACCCTGAGTGGCAGGTGACACTGAGACAGCAGCCCCTTGAATGCAGTTTTGTGAGACCCTAAAGGTGATCCAGCTAAGCTTTGCCTGGACTCGTGACTCATGGAAGCTATGAGATAATAAAAGTGTGTTGTTTTAAGCTGCTAAATTTGCATTAATTTATTATGCACCATTAGCTGACTAATGCATTCCTTTTTCTCTGTAATTTCACCACCAACTTCCCCTCGCCCCCTCAAAAAACAGTGTGGGCAGGGATGAAAACCAAAAAGCAGACTCTATAGACTGAGTGGAGCTGGTTTGGGAGCAATCACATCTTTACTCGTCCCAACCCTAGTCCTGCAGAATGGCTTTCAGCAGTGCTGCTCCGGGGAACCAGATGATGTACCCTGAAGGGGTACTGCCTACCAGGGCAGGGGAGTGTGGGACTGCACTAGAGAACATTCATCTTTTACCTTGTCCATAGTTGTGCCTTCTTCTGGAACTCCAGGAGAGAAGGGCCATGCCAAGTGAAGAGACTGGTTCTGGAAAGTTAAGTAATAAAGAAGGCCACATCAAATGAACGGCATGGTCAGTGATTCAGCAGGTGGAGAAATGGAGCTGGGTTTGAAGATACAACACTCACAAGTCATGGTTTGATTCTGCCCTTAATTGTTTAGGACTATAGTCCCTCCCAGCACCTCTTTGGATTTCTATTTCTTCGGCTCGAACACAAAGGAATTGGATGCTTGCAAGTTTCTGATTTCTTCAGAAGGACACTGACTTTCCTGAGTGACATACAGAAAATAGATGAAAAGCAGAGCTGCTCCGGTTAAGGCAAAGGATCCAGCATGAACACTACTGCAGAGGATGAGCCCCAAGGTTCCTTCTGGCTCAGATACCTCCCGATGATGCTCTGGCTCTCCAGCAGAGGCTGGCAGGGATACGGACTGGGAGGCTGCACGCACATTTAAGCACCGCACATTTAAGCACCTTGCCACCTTCATAGGGAACTTACGAGCCTGGTAAGGCAAGTGGGGAAAGGAGGCCACACAGGAGCAGGAGTCCCTACTTCTGCGGGGCCTCCAAGGCTCATACCAAGCACAGACACAGCTGTCTTGCTTGGAGCCCTTCCTCCACAAGGCTCACAGCTGGTCAGCTAGAACTTTCTCTGATGCTCCAAAGACTGCTTTCCTCTGAGTCCCAGCTAGAAAGGGTGAACAATGTAGGTTTCCCTCGTGTTTCATGAACTGTTCCAGGAAAGTCAGTTTGTTGCTCTGGAGGCACTGCATTTCAACTTCACATGGCGTCAAACAGAACCCAAGCTGTACTCCTATGCCTATTACTTGGTTTCACTGTTTGTCTGTGCCTATATGACACCATCCCCACCCTCACCAACCCTCAAAACCAGCATTATAAGCACATACAATAGAAGCAAACGTCTCTCCAGACCTTGCAGTTTGGCTCCAACCAATCTCCTGTGTAAGAGTTCATGTATCTGTATGTCGTCTCAGATAAGCTTCTTGTGGTGTATAGAAAGAAGACTAGTGAATGAAAAGAATGTTCGTGTTTTCACCCAGTGTATTTACTGAACACTTGCCACGTGTCTGGTGCCATTCCAGCCATTGTGGATACAGCAGTGAACTAGATCGTTTCTACCTTTGTGGAGCTTGTGTTCTGTAGGGGTAGAGAAGACATTTAAAAACTAGTTATGTGTAGGAGAACAAACATAAACAAACAGAAACATTTAGAGTGAAATAAGACCACTGAAACAAATAAGCAAGGATATGGTTAAATGGGAATCAAATGGGGTGGGGGAAATGCCTTTGGGTAGGGGCATCCCAGAAAGGCTTCCTTGAGGATGCAGCATTAAGCTGAAACTTTGAGGCTGAGAAGAAACCAGTTAAGCCAAGATTCCAAGAAAACCCTTTCAATAAAGAGTCTCTGAGTCAGAAGAGAGCTCAAGAGAGCTCAGCCTGTTTGAGG